CCTGTCTCCGCCTTCCCTTCTTTCTTTTTCTCTCTATCTCTCTGTATTTCTCTCTCTCTCTCTCTCTCTTTCTCTCTGTCTCTCTCTCCCCTTATCTCTGTGATGACGCCATCGGCGCTGACCGAGGCCCCTGACACTGACCCAATACTGGCCCGCTGACCCCTCGCTGACCCCGTGCCTCTGAGTCTGACCTCTTCTCTCCACTAATCATTGCATAACGGAAGAGTGCACGGTCTACTTCATCTGTACAGGACTATCGCAGGGGTCTGGGGACTACGTTTTGTGCATGTTCTACAATAATAGCTCTTTACACCTGCCACCTTGAGGTGAGTGCTTCTGAGAGGGGGTGTCTTTCTTGTCTGTTCTAGTAAGTGTTTTAGGGCACTTGCAACACAAGTTAGAAAAACTTAAAAACAGCAAACGGTTGATTTATCAATCTGTAATCAGTCAAAGCAACTTCTCTCACACCCCCATTCGTTCTCTCTCTCTCTCTCAGTCTCTCTCTCTCTCTCTACCTCTCCCTCTCTCTTTCTCACTATCTTTCTCACTACCTTTCTCTCTCTCTCTCTCTCTCCCTCTCTCTCTCTCTCTGTATCTCTCACACACAATCTTTCTCTCTCTCTCTCTCACTATCTTTCTCTGCCACTCTTGACAACATTCTACTGCCACAAAAAAAAGAAAGGGTTGGAAGAAACTGCACCAAAACGCCCATGCAAGCAGTGAATTCAAAAGACAATGACCAGATCTCATCAGAAACAATAAGTCAAAAGAAATATGCTCAAAAAGAGGTAAAATAAAAAGCATACTGTAGTTTTAGTTTTAGTAAAAGTTTTAGGGCACTAGCAACACAATAAGGTTAAATAAGTGCCGAAGATTAGAGGTGTTGCAAGAGAGTAACATACACAAAAAAGGAGAAGATCTTAGGATGACAAATGTTTGGTAGGAAAGAAGGAGCAAACCACACCAGAGCACCCGCCAACCACCCACAAGCATACTGCAAAAGAGCGCCCACCAACCACCCGCCCCTATGAAACAAAATGTGACATATCACACCTGCAGGTGGGGCAAACCCTCCTCCCAAGGAATGGTACACACAAATCATCTAAACTTAGATTTAAATGTACACATGTGACATTTAGTTACATGGGTGTGTTGGGTATATATTTTCTTTCCTTCCCTCAAGCTTTTTAATTTTGATGACAGGATAATGTGCTCCTACCCCATTCTCAACGTGACCTACTTGTATTTAGCATGGCAGATATTTTTCTTTGTGTTTGTAGAAGCTTCAATTTTGGTTTTGGTAAGAATTTTACGGCACTCGGAACTGCATAAGGTTGTATAAGCTCCCTGGACACAAGCTGGTTCTTTTCAAGTTAATTAACAGTACAGCTTGGTTTTACTTTATGGTTGAAGTTCAAAATCTATGGTAAAATTTAATAGTAAAAACAGTCATTTACATTTTGAAATAGCAGAACTTTAATCATCCTGTGGGACATGCATAGGTCATACCAAACGTGGGTCTGACACTTGGTTTCTTGACACTTATTTTTTTCAAAATAGTAGACAGATTATTGACAAACAGGAATTGAGAAAAAAATATGTACTAAGGATATAAAAGGACACCACCCCTACACAGGAAAGGTGGTGATCCAAGCAATATTGGCAGTGCATTACCCACTGGTGGGAGAGCAGTCTATATCATATAATCCTGCCCCATCTCAAAATAGAAGACCATAATAGGACACGAAACACACACACACACACATACAGTTGGGCAGGGATAACTCAAACACATCGGGGATTGACGAAGTGTGTGACACATGCATAACGCTGGTCAACTGATTTTATAACAAAATAAATTGAAGCAATATCAGTTGGGGAATGGCAAAATGTAGGAGCTATCCATGATTTTGAGTTTTCCGTGCTCATGTAATCTGTGCCTGAATGTATTTATACAAACATATTGTTGAAATTGTCCAAGACGGCCACTCATTGTCGAGGAGAAAAGTGATTGTATTAAACAGGTGGATGCTTTCAACAGTGTCATTATAATTTAGAAAAATAAAAATGTAAGGGGGAAAAAGGGAAATGGCCGTTTGGTTGTCTTGGACAGGTGGCCAATTGGGCAGGTTAGACTGTATTCAGGAACATGTATTGAATATATGCTTATCCTTTTAAAAAAACACAAAGCCAAAACGACAAAAGCTTATATACGTCCCCCAGAGGAAGAGACAGCAGTGTGGTTACTCACTGTGTGTAGAGCCAGAGAGAATCCTAGTAATCTCCTGAGTGACAAGACCCTCCCACTGGCACAGACATGAGTAGCAGTGGTCATGGTCAGCATGGCTCAGACACGTGTTGAAAAACCTGCCCAAGAGGAAAAAGCTCCATGAACATCAGTGTGTCTTCTCTTTAAGTTTTAGTATAAGTTTTATGACATTTGCAACACTTTAGAGAGTAACATACATAGAAAAGAAGCAGGAAAGTTACTGACGACAGATGTTTGATAAGAAAGATGGAGCAAACCAAAACAGAAAACCCACAAACCACTCACAGTGTGTTCTAATACAGCAAATTGTAGTGATCTACCTGACATGGCATCAGTCACTCCAGTGTCTGGGGTATAATGGTTCAGCATTTTGACACAGCACTCAGAAGGTGTGAGTTTGGCTCCAGTGTGGAGCAGTTTTTTTCATCGAGTATCTCTGTCTGTGGTGATGTTGTTTTCCACTTGGCCTGGGTTGGTTCTGACAGGCAGGGACAAAGCATCAATACCTCCTAAATGATCTAAATGGCGTCTGTGGTGGGGTGGGGGTTAATAAAACACTAACAAAATACATTCATGAAGCCTGCAATTTTACCATGGGAGCACTTTACATCTTGACAGGACATATATTTGAAATCTACTCAGATTAACAGATTAAAACCTTGACCTTCTTCATGCCAGTCAATGTCATAGCATCTGCACAGCAGCAACTGTCATATCTCCAGTAGAACAACGACTCACCACGGTACATATGTCAAAGACACTCTTCATCATTGAAACTTCAAAATGTTTGATTTGAATAAAAGATGTTGTCTGCATACACAGGTGGTCTCCCCCATGCCTAGTTTCATTTTCATCACCTGCACACAGAGTGTGCTAAAATGATATGCCGAAGGTGTTATAATATTTGTAAAAAAGAGAACACAACTCTTGAGGTTATAGAAATATATAAATAAGTAACCCATATATACCTTGTCACCTCCAACAGACTCGGCTGATCAGTATTGGCAAGCAGAGGAATCAGGCTGTTGCTATGGAAGACAAACAAATATGCTGTGGAATTGTTTGCTAACAACATGTTGGCATGGCAACAGCACATATATGCCTGATAACCTTCAAACTTTCAATTTATGTTGTTGACGAGAGTTGAGACATAAGGCAAGTCAGCTCTGTAAAGACCTAATTTCTACAGGAAGCAGACGAAGACAACACTAACATTGCAAAAAACATAAGGAGAAGACCAAAACAGAATGCCCACCAACCACCCCCTAAAACAAACAGTCCAAAGTCCAGCAACCGTGTCTAAAAGAATATGGACACATCAAGCAGACAAACTAACAGTACATTCTGGACAACACACATAAATGTCACAGTACACCTCATTGGCATAAACTTGACAAACAACACAGAATAGAAAAAATAAGGAAAAATTGGAATTATTTTTAGTTTGAGTAAAAGGAAACCCATTCACATGATAACTGTCATTTAGTTTACGGAAAAAGAAAGATGATAGACCGAAAGAATGGTGAAAAAAAAGAAGTAGGCCCTACCAGTGGCATCCTCCAACAACCAGCAAGGAAAGGTGAAGAGTAAAAGAAGCTAGATTTCTGAAACTGATATACTCATAAAATACTCACACTAATTCCTAGGCTTCTGGTTTTAAAAAAATACACCACAGAACTATTACGAAACCATGTTAGCCTTATTAAGTTGGAAAGAAAATGAAACTAAGAACTACCATTTGAACACTTTAGTGTCATCACATTCCGGTTCGTGGATAGATATCATGAGCCTCAGAAAATGGAGCTAACATACTTTTCTTTGTCTCTCTACAGACTGAACTTACTAGAGGGTGGAGTCACTGCCCAGGATTTTCCACATGTTGTCATGAGTGACCACATTGGCCAGCATACCGACACACATCTCCTGAAAGTCATTAGGAGAGGTTAAAGTCACAAGCAGAGGTTGACTCTCTTGCAAGGAAGAAATATTGCTGAAACAGATTTAGTGACTCTTTCAGAACGGAGATCACAAAGCATGGACATTGTTCAAAAGAAATTTTTTAGGTACATTTTATGTTCACAGATGAGATGATATCATTAAAAGAATTGTCACTCTTTAAAACAAGCTCAAAAGGATGAGTGGTGACTGCAGACACTAAAAGAACCCACATGTCATACCTTAAACTTAAAACAAATAAATGAAATTTTGACAACTTAAGTCAGTCATTCAATAAACTGCTCTTGAGGCATTTTAAGCTTCTGATCAGTTAGACAGTTTGTTATCATTCAGAAAGGTATCATTACAAACATGAAATGTCAGTGAATCTCATCTTTGAAGTAAAATTTGCATTGGACACAACACTCACATATATATATATATATGTCAGCCCATCAAAAGTCAAACCAAGACAATGTGTTAGAACGTCCTGAGTTGACAGCAGACTTCAAGAAATTTGATCACCATTGTGTTTTCTTTGGTTTTACAGACAACGAAGACATCATAGGGAAAATGTGAGATATGATGACCCTTACTGGCCACCCCCTTCCCTCCCAACACACACCCACACACAGAGAAAAGCAAGATAAAAATACAGCAGCCAAACCTGCTTTTCAAGCCACTTTTCCATTTTACTTTAGGACACTGTCCAAGACGTCCACCTGTCCAAGATAACCATTTATCTCCTTGATCATGGGTGACCGTCTTGGACAGCTTTGACGGTAAAAGAGTGAGATAAAAGACTCATTCATTGGCTCACTAACCCTTCCTCTTCCCTTCTCCCCCCCCCCACTCCCTTGCCCTCCATATCAGCACCGATGCGCACAAAACCCTTCCTTTCCTCTCTCCTTGAACATAAGGACAAGGACATGACAAACTAACATACCGTGGCTCGAGGACAACGGGAGTTACTGATGACGTGACAGATGCTCTCTATAGCTCCCACAGAGTGCAGATACTCACACACTTCCTGGGCGGAGGGGATGGGGTGGAATAAAAATGGTAGTAAACATGTCATCCAGTCATAGCTTGATGAGTTTAAAAAAAGTTTTCGTAAGAGTTTTACAGCACTTGCAACATAATTAGGCCATATAAGCCCTGATAGAAGTTTGATAGAAAAGAAGGAACAAACCACACCAGAGCAGCTACCATCCGCCCACCAACTAGATGAGGATTAAGTACGAAAACAGCCACATTTTCATAATAACAGATTAGTACTACCAGAAACATTGGAAGATAATAGAAGAAGTAGACCACATGAGAACACCCACGTTTCTCCCACAAAAAGAAAACAAAATCTGAGTGTCAGAGTCTGAATACAAGGTGCAAATTTTCAGAACTGGTGGCCATACCACTCCATGAAGGAACAAGGACACAGGAGTAAAACAATAACAATACTCCCCCCCAAGAAACCAAGTCGGCAATACAGTGCAATGTAAACCTTTATAAAATCATAATAACTATACAGTGCTATTAAGCTGCCATGTTACCAAGCTATCTTGCCATCAGATACATTGTACCAAGGTAAAAGAGTGAGTTGGATGTTTATACTGCTCTTTAAACAAACTGTTGCACAAGTCAAACATCAGCATCCAACTATCTCGTCCATTTTCTTTGCTGTATATATATATCCCCATCAAATTCCTTTGACAGAATGGGTCTCATAGACCATAGCAGAAGTTACAAGTCGTCTTAATCTTTAAATCTTCTATTTCACATAAGAAATGTTCTCTTCTGTGGAAGCATTAGTCATAGTCAGACATTGACGGACAACCATTATTTTTCTTCCTCTTCTTAATATAATTATACCAAGCTATCATTCATAGTACCTCATCAGTTTAAAACAATAAAGATGTATAGAAGATCATGTAGAAGAAGCTGATCACACTAGAGCACCCATAAGAATCAAACATTTTTCAAAGGAAGAACAAAAGTAAACAACGATAAGACATCAACAAATTAATGTTAAACAGAAACATTTAGGTTACAATAAAAGCACAGTGAAAGACCTGAGGTTTATAAAAAAAAACACTTTAAAATTCGTAGCAGCAAGTCACAGCAATCCTGTTTCTGGACTGCTAATTAATAAAGTCAACACATATTTCTTTTTATTTCTAGGTTGACAATAACAAAACTAAATCATTTCTGAATCTATCACAATGGGGCAAGCACATGTCACCTACTTCGTTACTGGTCATGTCCCAGAGCACGCCCACTTCATTTTGAAGATCTTCCTCCATGTCCACCACATCTGCTTTGTCGTCCGCTCCACTGCTTTCCTCCGTTGCCACATTGTCCTTTAAAACAACGTTACTCTGTCCACAATAGAAACAGAAACAGTTGTATACAACGCTTCGCTCATCCATGTATAGCAAGCTATCTCTGCCCCACTTCATCACTCTCTCCGATTTGCTGTCACCTCTCAATAACAATTAAGTTAACATTAACTTGTCTATTCCACACTGGCCAGTCCACTACTCTTCTATTCTTGCATTTAGAAACCCCGTAACCATTCATCCACAAAGCAGTAACTGTTAGACACTACATGTAACCCCCCCCCCTCCCCCTCAACCAAAAAAATTTTTTTAAAACAAAAATAAACCCCCACCTGTGAGATTCGTTTTAATATAATGCAGGCAAAAGCCAAAATTTTCCAGATTGACATTTTAAAAATCTATATATATAATAATGAAGCTTTGGTTTCGGCAACGCTGAAACAAGACTGTATTTCGACACTCTGGTCACCCTTAGATCAAATTTCATTTTGCATCATGAGCTCTTCCAGTTGTACCGGAACAGTACAATCTTATAATCTCATCGTTGCTGTGAACAAATGGTGTTACTGATGAAACATAGTCAACCAGGAGTAGAATTTTAAGTGCATCCGGGGGGGCGGCGATGCTTCCTGCCGAGTGTTTTATCAGGTTGGAGTCACCTGTTTGTCGTCACTCAGACTGGGCTGATTTAACTTTGGTACCCTTCAAACTAAAGTTTTAGATCCTTGTACTTTTGATCATTATCATTTAACCCACCCAAAGTTCGAGTTTCTGCCGTTGTGACTCAAAAATGAAGACAATGTAACTTGTCTGCTTATTATGTTCGACGCTCTCAAGTCCTCAATGCTTAATTATGATTTGTTCGAACAAGTGTGGATGAGAAAAAATCAAGGGCCTCTTGTGGTATGGAGGTACAATGCTCCCCTCTCATTCAAAAGGTCCTGGAATCAAAACCTCATAGTGAAGAAAAAATGTTCTTCCCTAAAATGTCCTCCTGTCCTGTCATCTCCTTTCATCTCCACTTTCTCCCTCCACCCCACGGTCTCCTCTGGGTTCATCTCCCCTTTACTCCTCACTCTTTCTACTTCCTACCCCTGGCTCCTTCTTACGGCTGTCTTTCAGCCACACCCTGATCTTGGGGTAAGTAAGATAGAACACCAAGCCTTCAGAGATATGAGCAAAAAATTTCGGAGGTCCCTTGTGCAAGTTGCACATATCAAAAAGCCATTCGTGGTCCAAAAATTGATAAGAGAAGGCTTGGGCCGCCACCCTGGCACAATTCACAATTAGTTCTTACCAAAACCTAAAATAGTTTTTCTGTATAAAAACACATAAAAGTACCTTTGATGAGGCTGTTTTGATGTTATGAAAACAAATAATTCTGAAAACAGTTAAGAAATCCATTCCAACATCATGCGTGTCATTTAGCACTCTCTCCCATCGCTTATTTTAGATGATGTTAAACTGTACGAAGGGCAGAGAGATAAAGAGCAGACTAAAAAAAAGCCTCAGCATGTTACCTGCATGAGTTTCATGACTATCTCGATGCACCATTTGCCGCTGTAGACAGTGTCCCCAATTCTGTCACCTCGCAACATCTCGAGGTCAACGTCCGGTGGAGGAGCTGGATTACCGAGGGGGTGAGAGTCAGAGTCCTCAAGTTTTTCATCTTCCTCCGAGAGATATTCTCTCACTTCTGATGGCTCTAGAAAATGTAAGAGGAGCACAGAAATGAGACAGACTATTATCATCACAAAGAGAAAGAAAAAGAATACAAAACTAACTTTAATTGTATAAAAGTCTTAAATTTAACCCTTTATAATATATGCCCTGACCTTCTGAGGCTACCATGCCCCTCTGCCTGAGCTTCTGAGCGATATATTAAATTTACATTCATATGATGATCATCAGAATCACATTCCATATCCCACTCAGGGAGGTAGTCCTTGTCACTGCCAACAAAAAATGCAGAAAGATCTTTAAAATTACCAGTAACGTCCTGTGTAGTAAATACTGTTTTCTGGGAGCGTTTTGTCCAAGGCCGTCTAGTTTGGGGACAGGGTCTTGCTCACCACTGTACCGGTGGCATTCAAGCAATTTTTTACGCACCACAAGTGTACCATTGGCTAATGTTCACAAGGTTAACAACTTTACTTTTTATATATTATTATACCTCTTTCCCTTCCTCTCAATTTTCTATTATAGAAGACCTTGATGAGACTACTCACCTTCATTCATGATCCCATCTGCCATACTTGCAGCACAGGAAGCAAAAGTTGTTGAGAAACTTGGACTTGGGCTCTTGGTGGTGTCTTAGGATTGAAAAACTGCAAACAAAATAGACTGATGAACGTCACTGCACAAGGAAAATTAAAATCTGAAAGAATTCCCCTTAGTGATACTTTGATACTGGGCTGTAAATCAAAATGTGGCAGTGGCAGGCAGGGGTCAAATTAATTTCATATTCATAGGCTACCTCTGGCTGCCCAGACAGCTTCCATGCTGGAGCACAGTTCTCTTCGGGAGAAGTGGTCCCGGCCTAACTCCATAATATATATTATGTGCACAATCGGAAACGAAACCGGAAGTTGCCTTTTTTAAAAAAAGGAGGGGGGGGTGCAGGCGGGACTCCCCCCTGCCATAAAAAAGAGAGAGGGGGGGGGGGTTGCAGGGGGACTCCCCTGCTAAATTCACAAAACGCCGTTCACAAAATAATGGTTTGTGGCAGTTTTTAGTGCAAAAATTGTTCTCAGCACATTAAAAAATGTTAGAATAGTGCCGAAAATAGTCTCAAATGGGTTTGGACCTTTTCTATAAATTTACCGGTGGTCTTTTCACCCAGGCAACTAACTCAGTCAGTTTTTTTTTACTCCACTTCCGTTTTTGTGTCCGAATTTGTGTATAAATGTCTATGGAGGTAGGCCACGACCACTTCTCCCAAAGAGAGCCTGGAGCACCACTCGACCACTTTCACAAGCAGTAAATGATTGAAAATTGTGAGATTTCATACCAATACCATCCTGACTAACAAAACTGCACCGCTCAGACTCCGGGCTCACAAGTATATAAGAATGGGGCAACAGCCACTCTGCCCTTCCTCACCAAGCAGCATGGCGTAAAATAAAAGGTTACAGCCAATGGAATCAAACTTGGGCTTGGGAGTAAATTATTTCAAATCAAGGCTGATTGGACAAAGCATTTTCTGTATAAGAAACTAACAGAGTAGCGTACTGGTAGGCTGAAGTCTGAAGACTGAAGACTGAAGAAGAGAAAAGCTCTACAGTACAGTACAGTATGAACTTGGCCGGACTTTTAGAATTTGAATTGCCCTAACTCTACAGTTACAATACCCTGGAACCGTGAATTAATTCTATCCTCATCTCAGCAGCTTCAGTGCTTAAAGACAGTACTTGGACAAGAATATAGGATGATAAAGGAGTGTAAACAAAGCTTCAAAAACCTGTTTCATTCAAACCCATTAGACACGGGAGTCTTGTAGCGCAATTTTGTTTATATCCGGTCCAGAAAAAGAGAAGAGTAGGTTCCCCTGAAAAATACTAACATAGTCTCTATAACATGGAGAGTTCGAATTGTAAGTTTCACAATCTGACCTTTGACAATGCGACTTGAACCTTCTGCTGATGTAAGCAGGCATAGCCTTATATATTTTTTAAGGCAGTTGACTAAAGTAGGTGATTCAAATTTTAGTAGATGTTGATAAAGACAAAAGATCTTTCAGGGCTGCATGGTGGCAAGAAAATAAAAGGGACTACAGTTAAAGCTGGGATGAACTGGTTCAGCAAAATGACGAAACAGGATTGTATTTTTATAGATTTATTTTTCTGCTCACAGTAGTCACAGGAAAGGAAGATCTTCACTAGATCTAGATCTAGATCTAGTAGGAAATTCATTAGCTTTGAATATCCACAAAAGGACACGCCTTCAACGTGTGACAAACTCAGTGTCACACACACACACACACACACACACACACACACACACACACACACACACACACACACACACACTACGAAAGCGCATAATAAACACACCTGTTGCGCACTTTTCGAAGAGGGCGTGTCGGTGGTGGACGTTACCCACAGTTGGTCCAGTTTCTCCAATACCAGTAGGCACTACTTAGGGTGGTATGCTATGAGAGTCATTGTGAGTCAACTGCCCATGGTCCACAAACGTGGTGAGGTGAAAATCGTTCGATGTCGACCAGAGAACAGTTGATTTCCCTGATGGGAGATTATGGGTGTTGACTCATACGTAGAGGTTGCTATACACAACAATTGGCGCAGTTCAAATGAGTAATGAGTATGAGTCTAGGCCTTCTCAGACTGAGAGAGCCTAGGTATGAGTACTATGGGGCTGGTTTATGTCACGCCCAAGCCTGAACGGCGAAAAAAAAGCTCGTAGGTGGAAAATCCCAGAGGATAGATGAAAGAGTGCAGGTCCACTTGACGGTCTACCATGAAATTTCCGTTCTACTTGACGATCTTTCAGGTTCAGTTTGGTAAACGTTTTACAGAGCTCACAACTGCCTTAGGTTATAAACCTATGAGGGTACCGGAAACAAGCTGGCTACTTTCACATTTCAGTTCAATTTACATTTTAAAACTATCACTACATTTTACACTCGACGGCCTGCCTCAATGTTTCTGTTCTACTTGGAAGTCTACAACAGGATCAGTCTGACCATTGATCTGCTTGGCAGTATACTTGTCTACAACCGTATCCTAACCTAACACAATGCAAGTAAGAGTTTTTGTTAGGTTACGGTTGAAGGTCGTAGTAGACTAGTAGACCATCAAGCTGAACAGTTTTCCGACTTATAGTACCGTGTTAGACTGACAGTCATTTAGAATAGAAACATGGCGGTAGACCATCAATCAGAACAAAAACAAGACGGTAGACCGTCATATAGACGTGAAACATGACGGAAGATCGTCAAATAAAGCAGAAACATGAGGTAGACTGTCAAATAGAACAGAAACATGGTGGTAGACCTCAAATGGGATTTTGTTCCCATCCGAGTCTCCTGTTGCTCCTAACGGGCAGATTCGAAACAGCTCACATATATACATGTTTATTGTGTCGGAGTGTTGAAAACATAAGACCCCCCCCCCCCAAAAAAAAAAAAAAAAAAAAAAAAATCCGCTTAAACAAGCGCATAAAAAACAACAACAAGCAAACAGGAAACAAAAGTTGCCTGTGATATCTTATTATTTTTTATCAATGAAGGTGAGTTTACTCTCCTATCAAAATAATTTAGATCTTTTAGGAGGCGGGCTTCCAAACTTGCCTGTCAGGGCAAAACCGAGCTGAGAGGGATAGGCCTGTATCCCAGTTGAAAGACCAAGATACTCGTAAACTTTTTCACCTCAAATGGGAATCGAACTCAGGTCTCATGCGTGCAATACCGAAGCGACTTATCGCTATACCACTGTCGCCGGTGAGTAAGTGTGTGTGTGTGCGCGTGCGTGCGTACATGTGTGTGTGTGTGTGT